ATGATTATTCAAAATGTGATAATAGTATGAAAAATATATAATAAAAAATTTATCACTAGTTTATGATTATATTATCACTAAAAATACTCAAGAAATCATCGTTCATATTATATTGTAATGAAAAATCTTGCAAGACTAATTAAAAAGTATTTAAAATAATTCAATAAAAATATATAATTTTTTCTACAAATGATAAGAATTTCTTAATAAATAATAAATTATTCCATTATTGTTAAAAAATAATTAACAGATATCCATTGTTTTCATTCAATTATTTATACATTTTCTGTGTACTCAAATAACAGTATTAAACAATGATTAAAACTACAAATTGTATTATGTACAATCTTAATTTTTTAAGAGAAAAACAAATATAAATAAGAATGATATCATATATTAAAAATATAATTTATTTATTTGTACATTAATATCTATATTATTCATAGATATATTTTTATCTATAATAATTTAAGATAGATTTTTCAGATAATATATATATATATATATATATATATATATATATATATATATATATATTTGTATAATTAAAATTTAACAAAATAAAAAATTTAAATAATATAAAAAATATGAATTATAAACTCAATAATCTCACATAGGATTGTTACGCTAGATATATAATCAAAATTAAACAAACAAAAAAAAACAAGACATTAGTTTCTTATTTAGTCTCTCAAACATTAAAAGCTAATAAATGTTGCTTGCAAAAATTAAATCGTTCAAAAGCATGATAAATAAGATGTTTGACATATTAAACATGACGAAGCATAGCCTTCTTTTGTTACAAGGCTCATTTTCAAATTTTCTAATAATAGTCATAATATTTAAAAAAGGAAAAAAATTAAAAAGTAAGTCATTACATCAATTATATAAAAAAATAATAAAAAAAGTATCTGAGTCACTCCGTAAGCTACACGGTTCGAGACATTAACAAAATTAAAAATTTTAATTCTAATTTAAAGATTTTAATTATAAATTAAAACGAATTTGACCATGTTTGTTTTTTCAATTTTAATATTTTATTTTCTCTTCTCTTATATAAATATCTATTTTAATAAATTAATCCGCCTATATTTTACTGATATTTTAGTATAATAATTATGTTACTAATTTTTAGAATCCTATCTTCATACGTTATATGTATATAATAATAGTTGTTCGGGATGCCAATAAGTTTATAATTTGTAGGGATAGATATTAAGAATAATTTATATATATATATTTTTTATTGATTATATATATATATATATATATATATATATATTAAAAAAATTTAAGGTAAAGAGATTTTTTAAGGTCAAAATATGATAGACTATTCTTTTAAAATGAATAATATCTTAAGTATTATCTGAAACTTAAAAAAAATAATGATTTTTTTAAAGACAAAACTAGTATTCTAAAATGGATAATTTTAAATAATGGATACTTTTAGATAATATCTTAGATATTAGCATACAATATCTTATATATACATCTAATTATACGGATAATTTTAGATAATATCTTAGACATTAAATAATGAATAAACATAATATAATGTATAAAATGATAATATTATAGTTAAATGATATGGAGAATTCTTTGTTAATAATAAATAATAAAATGCTAAAAACTATTTTAATCTTAGTGAAAAATTATATAAGGAAAAATACACTAGTAAAAGGAAAATTGTTATGATTGATTTTTTATATTGGTTGTAGAACCAATAATCTAGATGCCATGTTAAATAGTAAGTATTTATTATTCAGTTCTTAATCTAATCGTTATAGAAAGTTTTGTGTTAATTTTTTTATATAATCATATTTTCTACAAACATTTTATCAAATAGATTTAATATAATAAATTTCAAAGATTAAATACAAATATTATCCACGTACAAAAAATAATTAAATATAAGATGCAAATAATTTTATATGATAAAAAATTATTCATAAAAGAAAAAATTCATAATAACAATCACAATCTAACATATATTAAAATATTTCATTAAACCAAATCCTGAAATACAAACTAATACATAAAATTGAACAATATTTTCATATATTATCTTTGTTATAAATGAAAAAAAAATATTATGAGAAATGGTGGTATAAACATGGGAAAGACAAAAAAAAAATATAAATATGATGAGGAGAGAATGAAAAAGGAGAAAGAAGTTAAATAAAATTTTCAGACGTGCAAGGAAAAACACTACTAGAAAAATGTCAAATAATAACCGAAATTAGTGACTAAAAAATTTAACTATTATCAGTGACGGAATCAATAACGAAATTATTATTATTTAGTTTAGTAACTGAAATAGTAACTGAATTTTCGGTCACATAAAATCAGTTACTATTTCAGTCACTTTATTATTTAATTTTAATTCATCTAATTAGTACGTACCAGTCATTTAATTCATTTAATTATTTCAGTCACTCTATTACCCTCCCAAATTTTCATCTTCTTTATGCTCACATTTCATCATCTTTGTAACCACACTAATATGACTTTGTACCAGCCATAACCATTGTTGAATCCCACCATTCTTGTACGAGCTTAATCTGACCTAGACCCTTCATCTCTCCAACCCCAATTCTCCACCCTTCTGTTTAACTTCAAAGTGATCTTTAACCCAACCTAAAATGTCAACACGACAACCTGAAACCCAATATCTGTGACCTTACCTCAACTCCGATGACTTGAAATCCAACCTAGTGACCTTGAATCTCAAACTTCAGTGACCACAACACCCAATAGAAACCCAAGTGACTTCGAACCTCAACCCTAACCTCAACCTCAACAAACTCAAGGCCCAAACCCAACTCCGACGGCATCGAACCCCAATCTCAAGCCAAACCCAAATCTTCGGTGAAACCCAACACAAACCCAGGTGACCTCGAACCCTAACTCAAACCCCAGTGACATTGAACCCTATCCTCGACGACCTTGAATCCAAGCGACCTGAAACTGTGGCGACATCAAACCCTAACCTTCGCCTCGATGAGCTTGGACCTAACCCCGACAACCTCAATTCCAACCAAAACCCAAGAAACCTCGTACTAGAACCCTAACCCTGACGAACTTAAATCCTAGCCCGATGATCTCAACTCTCATCCCAAAACTTCACGACCTCTAACCCGAGCATAGGACATCATAAAAACGACCTCTATGAACATGGTAATGCTTATTCAATCCATTTGAATTTCCTTATTCAATCTAGTTTTGCATGATATGATTTTTCTGTGTGTTGATGGATGCAAGGCTGGTGCTACGAAAACAAATTTCTTACTGGATTACAAATTGGAAACTTGAGTAATAACTCCTTTAGGTTAATATTATTAAATCTTTAAATATAATTAAGGTCACAACGTTAAATTTGTCTCTAACCATACATATTTGTTCCTTAATATATGAAATACAAGAGGTTTAATGACTTGAATGGACTTGATTCAATGTGAGTGAATTACTGTAATTGTCTCTTGTTCTATTGTTTTCTTTGGTTGTTCTTTTCTTTCGAGTCAGTGGTGTTGATTTTACAGGCCACAGAAATGCATATTGTTTTCAATCATTTAATGTATAGTTGAATTATGGACCTAAAGGAAATAGAAAACTCACTCAATATATTCATTTAGAAGTGGCATGAGAGTGAAATTAGATGACCTTCCAAGTCAATACTACTAGCAGATAAATTATTTTGGATATAGGGTTCCTGTGAGAGACTACAAAACTAACCCCTTTCTTCTTCTAAACCCTTAACAAACTGTTTAAGGATCTATACTATGGACATTGGCAAGTAGCTCCATTACACTGATGGGAGGCATTAACAACACACTTTTCAAAACTTGAAAGAAAACTAGATGTAAATATTCATTAGGGGCAGGATGGGGGTGAGGGAGCAGAAAAAAGACACTTTGTATAACCAAAACAGGATATTTGACTGCACCAAATTTATTAATATTCTGAATAGAAGAAAAACAATATATTTGTATGTATTATATTCAGTTGGTTGGTTCAACATGCAAAAAGGGTGATTGTTAAGTTGAAAGCAATGATGTCACTCTAAAAGAACCATCAAGAGCATCATAGTTTTCTGCATAAAATTTGGGAGGCTCACTATGTACAAAAATGAAAGTTTCTTTGTTCGCTGCAAATCAACATTTAGCCATAAAACTATTTAAAAGTTTAAATATTGTCCTTTTACATTCATTAACAAACTAAAACTGTTCTAGAATTAAGAATGTTAAGTTTATAATATATTCTTTAAGGTCTGTTTTTAGTGATTAAGTTGTGATAGGATATAAAAAAAATGACAAGAATCCAATAGAATAAGAGCATAACAAATATTATTTTTATCCAATATTTAATGCATATCAGATAACAAATCAAATAACATTATTTTGTTATATTGTCCTATATTTGACATGAACTACGTATTAATTGACAGCATTACCTTTTCATTAAAAATACATATAATTTACAGATTCATGATTGTTATAGGTACTAATTTGAGAAATACAAATATATATGATGAGATATTAATAGTATATTTTTGTAGATCTATAGATTTTTGAAAGTTTTGGACATGCTAATTTAGTGTTTTTCCTTGATATTCTATAATGATAGTATAATTTTGAATTGTAACTTATTAGAAACCTTAACTTTGTTCTTGATGTCTAGTAATTCTATAAACCTTAATTGGCAAATTTTGAATTTATGATCGGAAAAGCTAAGAATTCTTAATTTTCTCAACTCTCCTATGATATATAAGTTATCATATTCAAAAGCCAAAGTTCATGATGGTTTAGTAAAAGCATAATGATGAACCATTGTGTTTTTACCATATATAGATGGTATTTTTATGAAACCCATAACCTTTCTGCTTTCAACATTTATAATGCCTTCATTAATAACCTCTGTACAAGTCCAACCCCTCCTATTGATTCTTTAATTTTACCCAAAAATAAAGTTTTCATTTTTTTTACAATGATATTATTATCATTTTATTCATCAACCTTGTCTATAAGGTCTCCATCCATCACGTACTCCAGTGGCATGTAGCCAACAACACCTGTAATTGAAAGTATTATCTCATTAACCCCACAAAGATTCAGCACAGTAAGATCCTAAAACAAAAAAATAAATGAAAAAAGTTACCTATAATATGATCTACATTAATCTGCTGCGGCTGAGGCTTTGGATTGAATCGTGGTCCGTGAACGCTGAGACCGAAAACTGCGAGTTTTGGCTCCATATTGCCATCCAAGAGAATGGTACTGGCTCTGAGGATACAGTGAAACATGGAACGCTTGGCTCCTGTGTGAAGGTAGTGTAGTCCACGTGCTACTCCTCTGCATATCTCTACCCTTTTCTTCCAAGACAGTTTTCCACCTGGAAGGTGTTTATCTAGAGATCCATTGGACATGTACTCACATACAAGAATCTTCTCATTTTGGTGGTCGCAGAATCCTATAAGAGACACGTCTAGGGTGACGAAGCTGGCATAGCAATTCTATTTCCTTCTTGAACGCTTCACATCCATGTTCATTAAATCGCTTTATTGCCACTACGTAATCAGAAACACCATCATGTTTTAGACAGCCTTTATATACTTTGCTAAATACTCCACCTCCAATTACTCTGTTTTCATCAAAGTTGTTGGTGGATTTCCTAAGATCGGTTAGAGAAAATCGATGGCACAACTCTTCTATCACCGTTGACCACTGTCTCTGAGATGAATTGTATTAGTTGTGAGCTTGGAACAACACATGCCCAAACAATTGAGGAACAACATAGTTCCAATTTGTGACACGTGCTTGCTTGATTAGTTGTCATCTGTCACTTATGTTTTTGCGTAGTTTATGCTTTTCTTTGTTTCAAGTAGATGGATTCGTTCTTTTTATTTGTATATATAAAATGGTGAATTGGGACTGCTTTTGTGCATTCAATATGGAGTGTGAGGTGGCCATAGACAACATCCGAAATGATGCTGGGTTTGTACCATGAATCCTGTATTCTTCAAGCAAAATCTTTGTCCACCATTTATTGTTAAAGTTTGATATGTTATTCATGGAAGTTATTATTGTTTGTTTTATAAGAAACATAATTACGAATATAACCTTTCAAGAGGCTAAAAAAAATGAAATGTACCTTTCAGAAGGTTCCAGTTTTACTTGTATTCATGCGTATCCAAATTTTGAATCATTATCCTGTAATTTTACTTTATGAAAGCCAAAGCGGTTTGTCGCCATTATTTTATAGTGAAGCCTTCTCTAACTGAAATATATAATATATGATGATTCTAGCATTACTTTATTTCGTTCTTCAACTCTCCCCATGCTTCTATAATCACTTTGTCATTAAGTGAAAAAACATTAATCTCTACTCCTCTTCACTCTTTATATATATATATATACTCTATACTTTCTAGTTTGTAATTAACATTTCTCAAGTTCACACTGCAAATATTAAAAGTTTACAAACAAAATGGAAGCTAGAATCACTTATGAATTGCACTTCTTGTCAAAAGAATAAAAAAAAAATATATGAACCAAAACATGGCCAAATTTTTATCTTTTACTTAAACGTATACCCTACACTTTAAATTTCAATTGATCTTTTTAATTATTGGTTGTACTTCTGGGCTTATGATAGTATTTTTTTTTTAATGATATTATGAAATAACGGGATAAAATGATAGCTGGTACAAAACTTTTCCTCTGACTTTGTTTTTTTTTAAGGTATTTACACATGATGTGCAAAATATAAATTCAAATACTCATTTTAGAGTGTGAGATTTTCACTCTCTCCATTCTCAAAATTAGCCTACTTCTTATGTTCTCTCTTTTAACATTATAGAGTGATCTTGACACTTTTAGATAGTTTTTTTAGAATAGTTTTGTAACTTTTTTTAAATGTAAATTGTTGTTAAAGTATAATAGTCACCGTTGGTGTTTGTGATATCTCATTTTTCCTATAATAATAATCCACATTGGAATTTAAAGATTTTGAATAGATATTTTTATATATGACATATATGATATAATCATCTGTTTATAATAATTTATTCATGTATTTTATACATAAAATTTATATATAATAAAATATTAAATAGTAATATTTTTTAATATTAATTATTTAAATTAAGATAATAATATAATATTTTTATTTTTATTTTATATAATATTTTAAAAAACTAATAAAATCTTTAATACTTAATTTAAATAAAAGATGATAAAATATCTATTTTCAATATCATTGTATATTTTAATATTTATTTATTTGAATTTCAAATTTTAAATTTAATTTTCCTTATTTGTTTTTTATTTTACTCCCTTTATAATTCTTGTCATTTTCAATCTTATATGGATCACCTCTTTATTTAATTTTATTTTCTTTAGTAGTGTATTTCTTATTTTATCAACTTCATTTTATTTGTTTCTTCTATAATGTATTTCTTATTAAATCTAAAATAAAATATGCATCAATTTTTCTTTTATATATCCCAATTAATACACATGATGGGTTATGTAAAGGACTTATAAATAAACAAGTTAATTCTAATATATTGTTATCTACCTTTGTTAGTTACGTAAACATGAATCAAGAACATGTGGAAAAATTCCCTAAACTTGGTGATGTGAGGTGACTGGTTTAATTTGTCATTGTGAGTTTGTTAAGGAATTGATAGAGTACTTGAATTTCTTATCTTTGTTATTTTATAATTGTGTGACAGATTTGTATGTATATAATGTTGACTTATTTTTTGGTTAGTAATATAGCGGTCATTTATCATCCATCATTAACTATTATGGTTTTCATATTTTTTTTTATCATATAGGCAACTTTTCTTGTTGGGTTGCAATTTGAAAACTTCAGAAGCAATATTTTTGTACTACTGGACAGTTTTAGTGACAAAGGTATAACTTCTAGCAAGACCTATAAATTTAGTGTTAGAGGTTTTAATGTAATTATGTTGTGGATAATTATATGGCATATTATTTTTTAAAATAAGTCATTTGTTGACATATGACAGAACATGGATGTTCATGAAAATTGTAGTTGGATGTATAATAGACTTGTACATGGTCGAAAGGGGTGTACTGATGCATTTTTAAATGGTGTAACTGAATTTGTGTCATTTGCTCTTCAACATCCGAAAAAAAAATCCTAATAATGCACACAGGTTCATAGACAAGACTTTAACAACATAATTTATGATGCTTTAGGTGCAGAGTTTGAGAGTCATTTTGATGAAGAAGATGAACACTTTCCAAATACTGAAGCAAAGAAGTTTTATGATTTATTATATGCTTCACAAAAACCATTGTGGTCAGGATGTACTAATCACACTGAATTATTTGTTAATGTTAGATTGTTGACAATTAAATTAGAGGAAAACATGTCCCAATGATGTTTTAATCAAACATTGACTCTTTTGAAAAAGACACATCTTGTAGATAATTTTATCCCAAAAGATTACTATAGAACCTTAAAATTGGTTTCAAAACTTGGTTTATCAGTAGAAAAAATTGATTGTTGTGTTGATAGGTGTATGTTGTTCTACTTAGATGAAGATAAAAAACTATCTACATGTAAGTTTTGTAAAAAATCTTGTTATAAGACAAAAAAAGTGGGTATAGATAAATATAAAAATGTCCCTGTGAAGAGAATGCACTATTTACCCCTCATTCCTAGGCTTAAGATATTATATGGTTCAATGAGTTATGCTCCGCATATGAGGTGAAATTGTGAAAATAAGAGAAATGAGGGACATTTGTGTCATCCATCAGATGGAGAAGCATGGAAACATTTTGACAAGACATTTTCTGATTTTGCAATTGAACCAAGAAATGTAAGATTAGGATTATGTGTTGATGGTGTTAGACAAATGGCATTTAGAGGGGGGTGAATAGATGCACAAATTAAAATAGATGTCAAATTAAAAATTTATTTGTGAGTCAATAATTTGTTAAAGCGGAAGCAATAATATAAACAGGAAAGGAGAAAGAGATAAGGGAAAGAGAAGAGCACACAGAGATTTATACTGGTTCGGGTATAGCCAACCCTACATCCAGTTCCCAATCAACTCTTAACACAAGAGTGACTCCCCATTCACTATCTTTCAAATTCAGTTTACAAATTACAATTAACTCAGCAGAAGAACCAATAAAAAGTAAACTAATTAAAAAGACAATCACCTCCTTAGAAACCCACTAAGGATGAACAATCACCTCAAATACCCAATATGTCTAGAAATCCTTTGATCAAAAATAGATTTACTCCTTTTCAATATCAGAACATCCTAATAGGACCAAAAGATTTTGTTAACAAAACAGTTCAAGAACCAGCCTCAGAAGAATATTTAGAAAAACCCGAAACATCTCCCATTATTATTTTAGAAAAATCATGGCTTTATGATAATGTTGATCATTAATAACTAAAAGCAATATTGACAAGTGGCAAGAAAATCATCGTCAGAGAAGAGAAGGATTAAGCCAAGCATTGAGTCAAGAATCATTATTCTTAGCAGAAAAACAGAGATTAATGGCAGAATTAGCAGCAGCAACTACCATGAAAGACTTCGAGCAAATCATTAAATAAAAATCAGCAATGTCAAAAGCAGAGTCAGAAGAAAGTATTCAACATAATCCGTTCGATATGTTTGATTAAAGAAGGATCAAGAAAAAATTGATAAAGTACAGCAAAGAAGACGTGAAAGATAAGCATGATAAGATATAAAGCAAAAAGTAGAGAAGATAAAAAGAAGGAAAAGACAAAAAAGAAGACATGACATAAAGAAGACGGAAAGAAGAAATCAAGACAAATCTGAAAAAGAAGACATGACAAAAGGAGATTCTCCGAGATATGATAAGGGATAGAAATGTAAATAGAATAAGGATATTTTTGTAAATTAATTATCGTCTAGAATAGTGTAAGTCCTATATAAATAGCCCCTTTAGTTTCAGAAAGGGCAGAGCGAAATTAAGTGTTTTCTTACTCTTCTTGTACTAAAGTTTGTAATGAAGTTTTCAAGTCTCTCTTATGTAAGCTTCTTTCATATCTTTAATTTTCATTTTCTCTTCAATTTTCTCCTTATTTTTATGTCTTAATATAACTCATAACTCATATATTATAGCAAAATATTAAATTGGTATCAGAGTGCTCTGTATTATTATTCATATTTGGTTTTCTTGTGGGAGGAATAGTATGCATAAATCATGAATAACCAAAACCAAAATGATGAGTTTGTCCAGATAGAAGGGGCACTCCCTGGTTTAGGATTCATAGTAAGACCCTTACGAACCCCAGGTATAAGTAGCTAATGTGTGATTTAAATCGATCGCCAAATCAGTTGACAATATTAATAAAATAGTGACCGATTTAAATCATTCGTTAAATCAATGACAAAGTTAATTATTTTTA